AAATATTTAAATCATTATTAAATCATTTTATAATGATTATACTAAATCATTACTATAATGATTATTATCAAATCATTACTAAATCATCAAATCATTAAATATTTAAATCATTATTAAATCATTTTTATAATGATTATTACTAAATCATTATTATAATGATTATTATCAAATCATTACTATAATTTGATATTATCAAATCATTACTAAATCATCAAATCATTAAATATTTAAATCATCATCAAATCATTACTAAATCATTACTATCAAATCATACATAATTAATAATAATTTCATTATTACTAATCATTACTATCAAATTACTATTAAATCATTAAATATTAATAATAATTTCATTATTACTATCAAATCATTACTAAATCATTACTATCAAATCATACATAACTAATAATAATTTCATTATTACTAATCATTACTAAATCATTACTATCAAATCATACATAATTAATAATAATTTCATTATTACTAATCATTACTAAATCATTACTATCAATCATACATAATTAATAATAATTTCATTATTACTAATCATTACTATCAAATTACTATTAAATCATTAAATATTCTTGCCAATATGACGGATACAATATGTCGGATATGCATACGGAGGTATCCAACGACTTCCTGGTCGTTCAATTGCCGCCAAAATACCCGTTCCTCTATCGGATATCAAGCAAACTCCATCTTCACGAACGACATATGACGTAGATTGGTCAGAAAGAAATCCCAAGCCTCTGTTGTCTCTCCCTCAACAATGGCGAATGCAATTGGGAAGATATTTCGCTCACCATCTTGAGCAACTGCCATCAAAAGTACATGCCTATATTGACCATACAGCCACGTACCATCTACTTGGATCATACGTTTACAAAATGGAAATCCTTCAATACATGCCTTGAATGCCCAAAATAGTCTATGAAATATTTTCTTCCCTGGCAGAAGTTGACCTTCTTCGTCATATGCGGGCATGGTTTGAGACTTCACTATGGTTCCTGGGATAAATCGCTTCATTGCTTGTAGCAAATGTGGTAGCTCATTGTACGATGTATCCCAATCTCCATACGTCAGCTTCATTGCCTTCATCTTCGCATTCCACACCTTGCCATATTTACTTGATATCCAAATTGGCTTCGAATAGATGCAGCTAACACTGAACAAGATATCCTTGGATCCTTTTCAACCATCGCCTTCACGTATTCACATATTACATCGGAGTCCAATAGTCGGTGGTCTTGTTCGATGAAGTTTCGCAAACACGTGTGCGGACCATTGTACCTCGTGATGACCCAAACATCGTGCCTTTGATTTTTCGACACTCTGATCTTCCACTTGCACTCTAGGCCATATTTTACACACTTCGCGTATAGGGTTTTCTGGTTGGACTCTGCAACATGGATATCAACATGGCATTTTATGCAGTACTCTTTAATCGCTAGGGTAGCTTCATTTTTTCCTCTGAATTGCACCCCAACTGAAAATTCACCAGAATTATCGAATGATGCAGTCATTTGGTATGGAGGTAAATGTGGCATGTCTGGGAATTCAGGTGCCCTCATCGCATCATAGTCTATCTCGTACATGTGAGGAGTAGCTTCATACGGTGCCGGAACTTCATCAATTGCACCTCCACCAAAAATATTTTCGTCGCCGCCCAAAACGGGTTCTTCGGTTTCTTCATCTTCGCTTGAATCATCATGAATTTCTCCCCATCGATTTTCAGCGTCAATATCAACAACCAATTCCGGTATGTTTCTCGTCTCACACTCTTCTGTTGCAGATGTCCCCCCGACTTCATTTACACTTTCCAATAGTGCCATAAACTGTTCGGGAACCTGTATGTCGGCTCCTCAAACTGACTATATAAAGCCATTTCAGATGGATTTTGAGCCACACCTCTTGATGACCCAGGAACATCACATATGTTACGGACATCAACAAATAATTCAATAACTGCTATATTGGTTGACTCATGTAATCCAACCATGGTTCCAATATCATCATCTTCTTCAAGTGGAACTGCAGCATATCTGACTGGGTTAGAGCATATCATAAACCTATACCTCAAACCATCAACTGCAGCTCGAATTTTTCTTTCTATCTTATGCTTCATTTCTATAAATGTGATGTCTTTTTTGAACATCATATTTATTGGTTTTCAGACTGAAAAACTACTCCGATCTCATTTTCCATAATTTGTCCATTATAATGGACAATCGTGAAAAAGTTGTTGCTCATTTCCTTTCCTTTCCTTTCCTTTATTGTTTCTTTCTTCGAATCAATATGTACGTGGAAAAATGTTGTGGAATAATGCTCTGTACGTGTAAAAAAATTATTTCTTTAAACAACAATAAATTTAAAAATTAAATTTATATAATCTATATATTATAATATAACTTAAACTAATAAACTATTTCTTTATTATAATATAATTTAGTTAAAATAACAACTAACAAACTAATTAAGCACTAATTAACTTTTTTAATATTTTAACTTAAACTTCAACAAACAACTTAATTACGTTTAAACACACTAACAAATTAATTAAATATTTTTTACATTTAATAACTTAAACTAAGAAACTAATTAACTAATTTTTTATATAATCTAATATAAACTTAAACTAACAAATTAATAATATAACTTAAACTAACAAACTAATTAACTAAATTTCTGTTTTATCCTAAACCCTAAACTAACAAACTAATTATTTCATAATTTCATATTAATAAACTAAATTAAACAATTAAAAATTACCTCACAAACGATGTTTGAGCCTTTATCTCCATTCCTCTTCTTCTTATTTTCCTTTCATTTCCTTTCTCTCGCCAAATTTTCTTTCTTTCTTATGATTCTACCCTAAACCCCTCATATCCAATATATAATGATATTTCAGCGGTTGGTAGGTAAGTTGCAATCAATTTGAGCTGTATAATTCACGTTGAAAGCTGTAAATTTTTCAACCGTTGAACGCTGCAATAATACAACACAACTGATTTTATGCTGCACCAATACAGCTATGATAACAAGAGTGAACAGTCTCGAAGCTATGGCATGAGGGACAAGCTATGGCTAGACGCTAGGGCACGAATCTATGACACTTTGCAGCTCAAATCATGCTGCAATAATACAGCTATTACAGCTGCATGCATGAGTCTCCTGAGCAGATGTAAGAGGAATCACGCGAGGAGCAGGAGGAATAGGTTCTCCTGCTACCTATCCTGCATGGCCCAACGTTGTTCAGTCCAAGCATGGACTGCATGGTGACCTTTGGCGAGCTGGGCGTGCATGGAGGTCGTTGGGCGTGCATGGCCGTGCATAGAGGTCGTTGGGCGTGCCTGGGCATGCATGGAGGTCGTTGGGCGTGCATGGGCGTGCATGGAGGTTGAGGTAGGTCGCAGGGCATGCATGGCGACCTACCAGGTCGCTGGGCGTGCATGGCGACCTACCAGGTCGCCGGGCGTGCATGGCGACCTGGTAGGTCGTCGGGCGTGCATGGCGACCTACCCCCGGTACTGTAGAGGACACCACTCGAGCAATTAATCTGGCGATCCCACTATTTCACGAAAAAAAAAATTTCAACGCACTATCAACGAGATTTTGCCCGCTGGAACCAGTAGACGAAGGATCAGATAAGTGTTTGTAAACAATCATCGAGAAACCCCAAAAGAAGAACTTACAATCTTCTCGCCGATGATTCTGTTGCAGCTATTGCAACGGACATACACCACTGGAATATGATGGCGAAACAAACGACTACTTATGTGACCGACCGGCACATTGACGGTGTATAGTTATAATGAATTCTACTTTATTATACACAATGAAATGTAGATGAGAGGTATATTCTTACGCACTAAGGCAGAGAATTCCGTTGGCCGGGATCGGCCATTCTACCTGAAATTTTGGTTCAAAGTAAGCATATATACTGCATGAAATCAACTTTTCCAAACAAGAATCGAAGTAAATACAGAGAGAGTAGATACATACACGGGCTAGGCAGTCGTAAAGAGGGGCGAGGTGAGTTATGCAATGGATGCATAAGAGGAAACTAGTTCGAGTATTCATCGGCAATCTGACGGTGTTTGGAGGCCTCTCCCCCATTGGAATGGAAGAAAGAAGTTGAGTAAATGATATACTTGGATTGTTTAGAGGTTTCTTGATTGTGAGCTTCTTGGAAGGAGAAAGGGTTTTTTATACACTAAATGTTAACCGATTGCTCCTTTTTTCAGTTGTAACTGTCAGGGCGAGAGGGATCTCGCGGGTAAACTAAACACTACTCAAATTTTAAACTCAGACTGTAATTCGTCTAAGTACTTAAAGCATATATTTTTTAATCTAAGTACTTAAAGTAATTTTTGGTCAAAGTAAGTACTTAAATTTTTTTTTATCGAAATAGATACATAAAGTATTTAATCTTTTTCATCTAAGTTCTAAAAAAAATTGACATGCGACATTATTTGAAGTATACCTTAGGTACTTAAGTGAAAAAGATTAAATAATTTGGGTACATATTTTGATAAAAAAAATACTTTAGGTATTTTTTCTGAATAAAAATAAAAGTTTAGATACTTGGACAAAAAAAATGTTAGGTAATTGAATGAAAAAGATTATATGTTTTAGATACTTATTTGTGATATAAACCAAATTTAAATATGAACGTCTATAATTAAAAAAAATTAGATGCCTCATTGCACCAAAAAATAAAACTTAAGTACCTAATTGCACCCCCAGAAAGTTTAAGTACCTAGTTGCATTATTAAAAAAAAGTTAAGTACCTAATTCCACCAACAAAAACTTAATTATCACTTTGCACATAAATACCAAAATAAATTACCAGAAGTTATACTTCACCTAATCATACACCTGACCGAATTCTTACGTGGCAACTCTTTATTCGCTCTGAAACGAATATAGAAACAAATCGAACCTAGCTCTCCCGTGCATAATATTTAAGTCCACTATCTCCGAAATTATATTATCTATAAAGTGAAACGAAGTGTCTGCTTTTGATTTTCTCTTTTCTTTCCCTTGAAATCGCAAGAGTTGTTTTGCAGCTCTTTCTCTCTCTGTTATCTTTTTATTTTTATATGGCTTCTCAAGCCAGCCTCCTCCTTCAGAAACAGCTAAAAGGTAATATTTTCTTCCATCGTTTTCAATTTAGTGAGTACGTATATGAGTTCCTTTCGTGGGGTTTTGGTAATATTTTTTTACCGGGTTACGATTGATCTTTTTGCAGATCTTTGCAAGCATCCGGTTGATGGGTTCTCAGCTGGGTTGGTTGATGAGAGCAATATCTTTGAATGGAGTGTTACAATTATTGGACCTCCTGATACTCTCTAGTAAGCTCCCTTCTTTTTCTTTTTTGGTAAAGTTTGTTACTTTAATTGAAATATAGTGTTTCTTGTGGATTCTTTGATGTGGATTTTGTTTTTGACATTGGATCATGAATTGATGTTATGACCTTTGAAGTTTGAACGGAATGTTACAATTATTGGACCTTCTGTTGCTTATTCTCCGTTTAGTATTATTGTTCTTTAGTAATCTTGACATTGATTGAATTGAGCTCCATTGATTCTTTTTCTGTGTTTCTGTGAGAATAATTGTCTTGCTAATCTTAACATAGATATTCTAATTTTTTTAGTGAAGGGGGATTTTTCAATGCCATTATGAGTTTTCCACATAATTATCCAAACAGCCCTCCAACGGTGAAATTTACATCAGAGATTTGGCATCCTAATGGTATACCTTTTGTTTTCTCAATTTCTTACTTGCCTTTATATGATGCAAGAATTAGTTCCATCTTTATGCATATTGCAGTTTATACCGACGGCCGTGTCTGCATATCAATTCTTCATCCTCCTGGTGATGATCCAAATGGCTATGAGCTTGCAAGTGAGCGCTGGATGCCAGTCCATACGGTATGTTTATGAAGTGCAACATATTTTTGAAATTTCTTTTGTTTGTGACTGTTCATGTGCTAATAACATCCATATTCATAGTAAGAGATATGCATGTAAGCTAGAAACCAAAGTTTCTATATGAATCTGAATGTTGATGCCGACTGATTTATTCTTACTAGAACGAAGGTTGAAAATGATGTATTTTGTTGTATAAGTGGGTTGGAAGGAGTTCACCAATGTGATCGAATATTTTATGACCATAAGATACTTCTCAATCTTGACAGGTAAATTATAGGGGATGGTAGATGGTTAATTTTGATTGCATCGGTTTATAAGATGATTAAGAGATTGACATGTAAAACTGATGTGGTATTGGATAATGACTCAAGAAAAATATGTTGAGTTCTTTCAACAGGTGGAGGCTATATCAGTTGAGAATTACTAATTAAAATAAAGATGGCTGAGAATGTATGATCATATCTATGTGTGGAGCAAAAAGATAATAACCCGAGTGGAATGAATTAAGAACTACATTAAAGGTGGAAGATATCTGAAAGAGAAAACATGGGGGCAAGTTTAAATTGTGCGAGTACCACCTTAAATTGGCGATAAGGATGAAATGGAGGAAAAAAATCATGTACATTAACATAATTGGTTGTAGATGAGGGCTTAGTTTAGTTGAGGTACTGTCAAAAGTTTCAACAGTTTAGTCTCTCTTGTTTATGATGCGTCATTAGAACCTTTTGTTTTGGAAATTATTGTTTTCCGCTCTCTTGACTCTATGATAGTGCATTATCAGATTTACATTCTTACTATTTGACAGGTTGAAAGTATTGTTTTGAGTATCATATCAATGCTTTCCAGCCCTAACGACGAATCTCCTGCAAACGTTGAAGCTGCAGTAAGTGATTGTCTAGATTCATATATTTCCCTTCCGGTGCAACTTTGTCGTTTGTTATATGAACCAAAGAACTAAAATCGCGACTTCTTTGTGTATATTTGCAGAAAGAATGGAGAGAGAGGAGAGATGAATTCAGGAGGAAAGTTAGCCGTTGCGTAAGACGGTCACAAGAAATGTTATGATCCTTTTCTTCTTCTCTACAATGTGTACCCAGGGAATGCCTTCATTTGAGTATCCTTTTCTTGTAGAATGCCATCTGAAATTCCCACACTTTACCCCTTTCTTCAGTTAAAATCTCCGTTTTAGCTATTGGTTGGAGTAATTGTAATAACTCGTATTCAAAAGCGTTTTCTTTTTGTTGGCAAACGTTATTGTGATATAATATTTTTCAACATTAGCCATTAAGACTAACTAATAAAGTCCATGAATTCGCAATTATCACTAACTAATGAGCCGCTCCCCCATTTGACTATTTACATAAATACCGCCCACGTGTCACTTAGCTGAGCGGACGTTGGCCTAATATTCCTATCCAACGCCACCGTTCACTTTCACTTCGTCTCCTTCGCTTGCAATAAAGAAAATAAATAAATAAATTGCCGTAAAAGACGATAAAAACTGTCACTTTGATCTTATTAATTGACAATGTGGAAATTTCCATAGGTTTCTCAGTTTTGTTTTCCATGGAAGAGAAAAAGGTTATAAGGGAAATTTACCAGTTTCCAGGAGTAGTTACAGACAAGTAAAATGTTGAGGATCCAGCAGGTCATGCTGCAATATTTTTGCTCAAAGTTGCTGCATTAGAAACGGTTAGAAGGGAACCAAAGGCCAAGTGTCCCTCTTTATGGCGTGGGTTTCAGGCTCTGCAAGTCATTTGCTATCCACCCTTTAATTGTTTTCAGAAATGGGTTCCTTTTAAGGGTTTGCTCAAAGGAATGCAGGTTTGTTCTTTAACAAATTCTTGCAGATTTGCATTTCCAATTAATTGCTTGGTGGAATTATCTATCATCATTAAGGGCTTCATTTGAACAAATGATTGGCTTTGTTCCAGACATTGTCGAGACCGCTATTGGTGCTTTCGGTTGCGACATCACTTCCTGATCAAGAAGATTTAGCTGATGAAGCAACTAATAGTGGTTCTCTGGTGAATCCAAAATTACATTCTGACGAACCCTTTTTGCACCCGACCTTGGATGCAAGGTAAGTAGGTAAATTCAAGTATGTCAAGTTCTTATTTTTAGGACTTCATGTCAATCTTGGAAGGAAGCTATATTTGCTCCCGCACAATCTAAAATTGGAAATGGAGATTCCGTTATTGTAAAATGATGTCTATTCATAGTTTGATCTCAGGAGCTTTGGTTAACTTTTAATTAACTGATGCTGCAGAGTGATAAGTGGGGTTTGACTGAATGTAAAAGTGAACTATTTATAAGGGTAAATTCTATCTGGTGCACACATAGATCGTGAAAAATTCCTAAACATAAAAAATTACTGGTAACTAATAGTGTTTTTGATTGGTTCTGTAGTTCAGATGTGGTCCATATCTATCCAATTCAATTCTGATGGTTTTTTCTGCTCATGAGGCATTCTTTCTGGTTTGCATATGTTCAAATAGTACTAAAGAAAATGAATCACCTATTAGGTTGAATATGATTAGACCAGGCTTCCCCCTTGAATATTCTGGTTTTGCATGTTTCAAGCAATTTGTATGTTACTCCTATTAGGAACTTGAGTATGTCATCAGTGATAAGCTTTGTTTACTAACCTCTTAATTCTATGTAAATTCAGTAATGAAGCTTCCCAAAATCTAGAGTGTGAAAGCTGGTTGGACAAACTCCACAACGAGCTGGAAAATCAAGGAATTAGTTTACCAGAGAGGTGATTTGATTACATGAATGCATTCATGGTGGTTTTTTTATTGTTTTTCTCCTTCCATTCATTACTAATAATTGATGATGAGCTTTAGTGTTGTTCATTTTTTTAATTGCTTGCTTTTTTTTCTTGCAGCAGACCATGACATTGTAGTGTTTATGCAGAATCAACGATGAATATCTCCGTAGATTTTATATAGCTGTAAAGGGTGACTTTGTAGTTTTCCTATCATCAATTAAAAGGGCAATCAGATGGAGGGAGACATATAGACTTCTTTCTCAAGAAGAGCTTGAGACATGGGGGAACATGGTATTCTGGCACGGATATGATCTCATGCATCGACCTTGCCTCATTGTACGGCTTGGGCTAGCTTGCTCCCGCGTGCCATCCCATGATAGACCTCATTTTGCTTAGGCAGTCAGTATGTTTTTAGCCCCTGGGGTACTATCTAGCTTTCCATTTTGCTACCTTTTGGAATTTAGTGAGACTTCTATTTGTTTCAAATCTTTAATTTCTCTGTTTAATATGAGTTGGTGGGGAAAGTTTCTTTCAAAGAAAGCTTTTTCCATCTGAAATAGCCAGCTGGATAATCCAAAACAGATGTCAATGAATTCCTGGATCACATCCACCAGTATATTTTTATGTATAGTTACAGACAGTGCTTTCTTTCCTCTCTGTTTGCCAAGCTACTTTTTCATGAAATCAAAATTGACATTTTTAAAAGAATCTATTTTTGTGCACCGCCATTTTATCTATTGAATTCTATTTAAAATCATTGACTTTCACTTGTTATAAGACAAACAGAGAAAAGTGTATCTTCCTAATCATCACTACAGGTTAGTTCTTGAAGTCATTCATCGATGTTTTGGCCTCAATTCTTTCATTCTAGTACCTTTTCTTTTAGTTGCTTTTGTGTATGATGTTTATGATCAAAAGAAATGGTTGTTGCTGCAGTATCTCAAGTAGAACATGGAGTCATGCATTTAGTCAGTCCAGAAAATCCTGAAGTTCAAGTTACAGTTTTAGTGAACTGTGAAGGATTATCGCCTTTCAGAATTCCCATGCAAATAATGAGATCATGCTCTTCCCTCTTGCAAGACCACTACCCCAACTGCCTTGGCTGTTTGTTTGTTATACAGCTTCCTCCAGTTGTTCGCGTCATTGCTCAGACTTTTATTTAGGTTAATTCTTCTTCTTTGACTGAAAGATGAATGTTTTATCTTATATATCCCATTTCATTTCCTTTTTCCATTTTTCTTTAGCATCAAATATGTTAAGGGTTAAGTTATCCTTCTTCTTATTGTTTTGGGGCGAATTTGTGGATTTTCTCAGGTTTTGAAACCAGTTACGAGGAAAAAGTTAAAGATTGGAGGAGAAATGTACCGCAAAGTTCTCCTGGAGAATCTTCAGACACTCCCATCATATCTTGGTGGAGATTGTAGGTGCACAAAATGCTTAAATACTTTTCATGATGTGAAGCATCCTCGTACAGACCAGTTCAACAAGATACACACAAGTGAAGATGCTAGTATAATATGGAGGGCAACTAGAGGGTTTTTAATGAGGCCTAATATTCTATCAAAAAAAAAGTGAAGATGTTAGTGACATTGAGGATCTATCCAACTTGATCTAATTTATCAGGATGATATTAACCAGAGATGGGACTGTGATCAGGTATTGAGAACTGCCATAATATGCCTGCTCATCTTGTGGGTTCTTATAGCTTTCTTGGCAGGATTTTATGATCCAGAAAACCCTTTCTTTTCATCTATAAATGAAATAGATGTCTTTTATTGAAAACCACCCAAATTTTTTTTCTTGTTCAAGGCCAAGTATTTTGATATTATTCGAGAGTGTCCATTGTCTCCATTGTGTTAAAATCCTTTTTGCCAGAAATTGATGCATTATTTAGGAAAACTAGGTTCGTTGTAGAGTCGAGCTAGGTCCACAACTCTATTTTGTATAAGGTAATAAGTCATGGTCATATTCTCAATATCGATCTCTCTACCGTGATATTATGGCCTCGTTTGCTGTATCATATCTATAAAAAAAGGCCCTCGGGCTGTTGCAGCAGGAATAGGATCAGAGACGAGCTTTTGTCTTTGTAATGATATAGCTTATGTGCAACCAAGTGCAATATACCATCAGGTCGTTCATTGCGATGACTGTTCGATTACACTTCCTGTGACTACCTGTCAGTCTCATCGGTGTACAATGGAACTTCTCATCTTTAAGACTGTTCTCTAGTTATATGTATATGTATATATGGAGTATATATTAATCTCTTCTAGTCTGTGCCTCTTTATCTCCTGGAATTAGCATTGGTTTTAAGAATTCCATTTGCTTTTTAGCAAGAGAAGAGTATATTACGGTGAGTTTCAAGTGTTTGTATCGACAATTTTCGATGGCTGGATAAACCAAGTTTTATGAAGAATGTTGCAGATGCATTGGTGTGGAACAAATTAAATGTGCTCAAAGAGAATCTTTCTCCTACTTCAGTGTCTAATTCTTGTCTATTGTTCCCAAGTTGTCTTGCATTTGGTGAGTCTTGTTTAACACCATATGTTCAAAACTCGATTCTTTTTTTTTTTTTTGATTAAGTCAAAACTCAATTCTGGAAGTGTAATAATCCAATTGTTGAAATTATGAATATAAATGTTCCTATTATGAAACTCTAGTATTTCACCTCAAGAATATGAGAAGAAAGTGATTTAAGGAGATGAATTCTCTTACGCTACTGCAAAGCAAAAAACAACTAGATTTACATGTAACAATACAAAATAAGAAAGATTTCAAAAGGCTTGAGGATATCTATCCTGTTTTAAAACATGCTTTCTTTTTTAAAGGTCGCCCTAAGTGAAAAATATTATATGTGGCTGCTGGGATTCGAGCCCAGGTCTCCACGGCCACAACGTGGAATTCTTACCACCAAACTACAGCCACTTGATTTTGAAACTCTTACCAAAATAAAGCTTATCTTACTGTGATAATGAGTGATAACCAACGTGAAATGATCCTTCGTAAATCGTATTATTCGTATGCTATATTCCTTATTCACCGCCTTCCCTCTGTTGCGAAAGCAACGCAAGGCATCTGCCATTAATAACATATGGTGATGTTTGGTTGGATTGAATCCAATTTCATCACTTTTTTATGTTTGGTTCAAATTTTTCAAGGGAATTGAAATCCCTCATTGCTTCAACTTTCCATCAAATGAGGGAAAGTGAATTTCATCAAGAATGGATGGAATTCAATTCCCTTGTTGGAGGGAATTGAAATTTGATCATACTACCCTCATCAATCTTTTGGTAATTTATTTATATATTGAATAAAAATATTTTTTATTATTTCGGGTCAGGTTTCTAATTCATATATTCGGGTCGGTTTTTTTAAGTGTGATATTCGAGTCGGGTCGAGTTCGGGTTTAGGGTGAAAAATACCCGACCCAAAAATATATATAATTTTACCTTATATATTTAGGAATAATTACAATAATATTCCTCTATATATAATTTTTTCA